CTTTGGCTTTTGTTTTAAAAACCCTAATAAATTATCTTACCCTACAATGTTTAAGCATTGGCTTTTCAAAGACAAATCAAGGGTGTCCTTTGCCTAAGAATCTTAATATCCGTATCACTACAAGTCTTCTATTAGGGTGATTTGAGAAGTTGGTTAAAAATTAATTTTTTGACTTTTATTAGCTTTTTTATTCTTTTGTATATAAAAAATGTGAGTGATGCTATGACCTAAAATGAGTTAAAATCTAAAAGTTAAATTTTTTTTTTTTGGCTTCCCAAATGGCCCCAAAATCACATTGTCATTATTACAATTCAAACGATATATATAAATACGAATAATACATATAAAAAAAAAATTGTTACATATTGAGAAAATTTATTACTTATCGGTGCCAACTTAATTGGAATTATTTTTGTTTGCGATGACGCTTGTGCATCCATCCTTTTTGTTGATGTATGTTGTATTTTTCTTCGTTCATCAATAAAATTTCCTTTTGCTAATAAAAAAAGAAACATACTCAAAAAAATTATTTAAGATTACATTCAAATTTACAATATGTAAACAAAATTCATTCTATGTATGACTAACAACACATTAATTTAAATTTACGCTTCAGTTTCATGATAGGTTTTGATTTTCATGGTATCTAGAATTATTGTATATCAACTTGTTGACAAAGTGAATTTCACATTTCACTCACTTTTTTTTTAATGTGATTAGGAACCTTAACATCTTTGATTTACCAAGTAAATTTTAAATAATCACGTTCACTTATAAATTACGTATATCAATTAAAATCAAACAGAATATCAAAAAGAGATTAATCTAGAACATTAAGATTTACAATTCATCATGAGACAAGTTTTTTTTATTACTGAACTACACATGTAAATTCATTTCACACTCACAATTGTTAGTAAAAAAAAATTAACATAGAAAGTGTTTTAATGAAGCAATACAATGCCATAAACGAATATCAATAATTTAATCTCACAAAAATAAAATGTTAGAGGTTGATTTGTGAGATTATCATGACATAATTTTGTGTTTCAATGGCAACTACTAATGTACTTCAATGGTACAAATCTTATGTTGAAGATAACCAGAATGGTCTTGTCATGCATCTACCAAAATCAATATTCAATAGTCTTGAGATAGTATTCCCTACCCTAGGTGACACGACATGATGACAACAAATTGGCTTCACTAAATGAATTGGTCACAGTGGAGAAATTATTGTTTTGTTGTTATGTGGTGCTACATTTCTCCCTATTTATTTTCTTCTCTCTTTAAATCATTCAATCCAAGCACACTGTCACTCTTTTGTAACTATATTGCTTTTATCAATGCCTTCTACTTACAAACTTCTCTTCAATTTGCAAATAAATTTTTCTTTCCCTTTCTTCACAAAACCTTCCAGTTACTCCATATAGATTTCATCTTCAAAATCACCATGAACTGCTCTAACTTGATATTCATTGGTTAAAACAGTAAAATTCAATATTTTTGTTGTATTTTGGAAAACAACTTTATATATGTCAAGCGATAAATGATGAGGAGTAATACTCCAAAACTATCAAATAACCACTCTGATCACTGAGCTAAGTTGTCTCATGAGCCATTCAATATAAATATGACAAGTTTGTTTTTGCTGATAAAATTCTTTTTTGTTTTCGTTTTGTGTTTTCGAAAATAACAACAATAAAAAGTTTGAAAACATTCATAACATTTTTCTTCTGGTGTGAAAACAGTTTTTGGAAATTCAAAAACAACTTTATGAAGTTTCCTGAAAGAATTCCAAAAAGGAATTTTTGCATTTACTGAAAATGAAACCAGAAAATGAAAACGAAGTATTTTGAAGTAATCATATAGTGTAATTACTAGGTCAGAAGGAGTTGAATTGTGGTGTTTGGGAAGCTAAATTTGGGCCTTTTTTTTATTAAAATCAATAAAAAAGATAAAATAGGCTAAAATAGTTAATAAGATAAAGATGGTGTTTGAAAAGTGGATTTTTATGTAAGTTTTTTTAGGTATAGGTTATTATTGAAGAAAAAATTTTTTGTGTTTGGAAAGATAGTTGGATTTTTTTGTGATTGGATGTGATGTTTGTGAGAGAAAAAGTGAAATGATTATGGGGTTGGATGTGATATTTTGTTTTGATGTGTTTTTTTTTGTTTTGCAAAACTTTTGTCTTTTAATGGAAAAAATGAGAAAAAATCCAACTACAATTCTTCCCAAACACCACCAAAATGTTACATTAAATCCATAATCATTCTACTTTTGGGCAAATTACACAAATAGTCCCTATAATTTGGGACTTGTGTCATTTTGGTCCCTGACTTTTCAATTGTGACACATTTGACCCTGAATTTTGAATCTTGTTCCAAATAAGGACAATTGAATATATAATTAGATTTTTCAAGGGTAAAATTGTCAATTTGATAAAATATAAGCTAATTTGACAAAAATAAATGTCAAACAAAATTTTTGAATTTTTAAAAATTATTTCTACATACTAAAAATAAAATTATGTAAAATTGATAAATCTTTTAGACATTTATTTTTTTTTTATCAAATTAATTTTTATTGTGTGTTTGGATGATGATCATGTAAAATTAATTTCAAAAAATTAATCATGTAATTTTTATTAATTTTACATAATTTTATCATTGATGGATAAAAATAATTTTAAAAAAAATTAAAAAAAAATTTTGACATTTATTTTTATCAAATTAGTTTATATTTTATCAAATTGACGATTTTACCCTTAAAAAATCTAATAATATTTTCAATTGTCCTTATTTGGAACAAGATTCAAAATTTAGGGTCAAATGTGTCACAATTGAAAAGTAAGGAACCAAAGTGACACATGTCCCAAACTATAGGGACTATTAGTGTAATTAACCCTCTACTTTTTCTCTCACAAATATCACATCCAACTACAAAAAAAATTCAACCATCTTTCTAAATATAAAAATTTTACCCTACTAAAATAGCCAAAAAACTAAAATAACCTACTAAAATAATCAATTTCCCAAATAAGGCCAGCGTTGAGATGTTGATGTGAGAAACATATTTTGGACTTCAATCATTGAATATCAAGTCACCACTGCTGCTGAATCATTCATTTTCAGATATGGATTTTACTAAAGGAAAATGCCTCCGACCCCAGTGGGGGTGTTGGGGTCGTGCGTGTAGGGTTCTGATTGGGCGAAAAAAAAATTATTTTTTTTTTAATTTTATTTTCAGCCAATGAAGCCGCACCACGTCACTGGGGGTCGGACCCCTACTGGGGTCTGTAGCATTGTTCTTTACTATAATGTGTACACATTCAATGGCAACACAGCACAAATGGGTCAAATATATATACATATTAAAAGGAACATTAAGTACAGAGGTGTTTACAACTGGAATTGTAACAGGAACAATGAAAACACACATGTTAGTGTTCAAAAATCGGATCCACAAAGTTCTGATAATAATATGTTGGGTGTTATTTCTTATGAAAAGTTACGTAATTAGGTCCAAGTTTTAACAAAAGCAAGCCGAGGTAGCCTAGAGGTTCAAAGACATCACTGTGTCCAATCATAAACCCAAAAGGTGTGTTGGCTTTACAAGATACCTATAGCTTGGATAACTAATTGCAAATATTCGGGGTTTACTGTGAAAAAAAAAAAAAAAAAGAAAAAAAAAAGAAAAAGAAGAAGAAGAAGTTAGCTTTTGGGTTTGGCCACAAGGTGTTAGTCATTGCACCCCTCTACAATACCATTTTTTTAAAAAAGGATTTTGGGTTGTATAAATTTGTAGTGAGAAAAGAATCAGTGAATAGCACAGGACCATAGTCCTTTAACACAGCTGGTGTTAAGGATTTGATATTGGGCCTTCATGTTATCAAGGGACCATCAGGTTGAAACCAAAAGGCTGAGAGAGGGCAGTGGTTAGAGCTGTAAAACGATCCAATCTATAACAGTTCGACATGTTCAATTTCTTAAAAGTTCATTTAAGATTAGCTTATTATGTAAACAAATCAAACTAAAACACATTTTGAGGTTTGTTAATTGAATGTGTTAAGCTATGGCTATGCTCAATTGGGGACACTATTCACACACAGATGATCATATCTATTTCTAATTTGGAAACTTAAATTTCACTGCTCTAGAGGCATTTATGTGCCTGCCACCAAAAACTTTCCAGGAAAATGTTTCACAAGCCAAAGCAACTCGAATTTTAGAATCCTCCTCCTATGGCTACATGTCACCAAAGAAAAAACCAAACCAAACACAACCCGTAAACATATCTAGTGTGTTCAAAACTTCCCAAGCTTTTGCCCCAAGAATTGGGGACGTCCTAATTCAACAACCATGTCCCCATAAAAAAGCATATAGCCATACATGGACAGAATCACAAAAACAAAAAGCCTCATAATCATCACAACAAAGATTTCTTCTCTTTCGATGCTGTTACTATCGTTTGACTAGTTATTTATGGCAGTTTTCAAACCCACCCCCCACATGAGCATATTGTCAGATTCTGAATGGAGATGGTGACTCACCACCACTCAATGGCTCATCTCCTGTCAAATAAACTTCAGTCTTATTATCCAGGATTTACTACAGTCCACGTCTAGGGGCTAATCTGAACCATTTGATAACTCTCAACTCAAAACCCAACCTAATATGGCTACCCATGTAGTCACTAACTAATGGATAATTGCATAGGTGATGAAGTAAGTTCATTAACTACTTTATTAACCTAGATTGACATATTGAAATGAGTATGGTGTGCGTTTTAGTACTGCTACTAAATGCGAAAAGGATATATATATATATATCAAACTCTCATATCTAACTTCCTCTTACTATATAAGAGAGTTATATTTATGTATAATGTAATTCTAGCTCTGCTCTAGGGCATTCTGTCATGGTTATATATGCTATTTAAGTCCCGCAAGAATATATTTAGCACATCATCAACTCAGATATAGATAGATGAACGAGAAATAAACAAGAATTATGATTTTTTTTTTCCTTTTATTATTTCTGAACATCAGAAAATGTAAAGAATGTCTCAATATATCATCAGTTTGATGGATTTCTGTCACTTGCCTCATCGCAGTTAAATTTGAAGGGTTCAATTAAAAGCAAATCTCTAAAAATACACCACCAAAAAGGGCATTTCCTTTTTACACTTTTCTCCTCTTGGGGCTCAGTATAAAATTGTCGTCGTCATCACTATCCACGATTCTTTTCTTGGCTTTTACTTCACCATTATTTGACACCAGCTGTTGTTTTTTCGAACTCTCGGGTCTACTTGGTGGCCGTGGTGGTGGAGATTTTATAGGAGTCCCCATCCGAAGTTGCTTTTGCTTCCTCTGCTTCTTCTCATATGCCTTCTTTGCTCTTTCCAGTGACAACATACCGTGTTCCATCATCCTGCTCATTGGCACGCATTATCTCTAAAATTAGTAACTTTTCTTTTATGTTTTTACTTGTTTGTTTTTTGATATGCTATCACTGTCATTATTAACTTAAAAAACTGAAATTTGATCAGAGTTCAAACTAAGCTGCAATGTCAAAATAAATCATGATTGTTACATGTTTGGCATAATAATGCACTTTCGAGGTTTCAAACAGGGGAAGTTTAGTTCAAGGCCATATATTCTACAGAGACTAAAATCAGATACAAAGAATAGATACAGGAAAATTACAAAATATGAAAATTTTAAGTTCATGTCCAGCAAATGGCGAAATTGACAAAATACCCTTACTACTAAACCTAGTAAAAGCCATTAAATCTGTCTATCATGACCTAACCTATAACATACATAAACAATTAACACTCAAATTCAGCCAAGACATAATTGAGTAATGCCCAGCTGTGCTCCATATAAAAATCTAATTTTACCCCTTTTCTTCTTTCCATGCTGGCTGTCACCAATTTTTTTGTTTGTAGGTAAAAAAAATATATTTTTTATAATGCATCAAGGTTGCCCTAGTCAAGGGTGGTGTACCATCCGAGACGCAAGGTGCAGGGAAAATTAACTTTCACCTCTTCCTAATCTCATTCTTACCTTTCTTTCACTCCTTCGGGTGCTTTTCTCACCCCCGCTCCTTATGGAATTTTCATCCACTTCATGCCTCTGTTTAGCTTTAATATTTTTTACCAGATTCAAAAAAAAAAAAAAAAAATCTCTTGCTCAAAATCCATCAAAGGAAACCCCAAAAGAAAAATCTCAAATCTTCAACCTTCTCCATAACCCACACTTCTTCCTTCCTCCCCTTTATAAGCACAACAGTAGGCTCACCCACTATCACTATCACCGAAGCCACCTCAAATTTTCTTCCACCAAGTTCTCCTTCCTTTGCACTGAAATATTCCCTCTTAACCAAGCCAACTCGCTTCCCTTCGTGAGTTTCGAACTTTTGGTCTTGGGTTCTCAATTCAAAGAAGTGTTGGAAAATAATGGTTTTTCAGCAACTTTAATTCGAAATTAGAGTGGGACCCAAGTGCCGGTTGAGGTGGGTCTGAGTAGTTTTGTATTCTATTAAGTAAGAAGATTACTATACAAAAATAATGAGCCGAAACCATTGAGTTGTGAATGAGAATTGTCTCATAAAGTGGACATCAATAAAGTTGGGCTTAGATTTGCACTAGTCTTAGTTTGGACTGAGCCTAGGCTTGTGCTTGTGCATATGCTAGGTTTGGTATTGGTCTTGGTCTTGGTCTTGGACTTGGACTTGGACTTGGACTTAATCTTGAGCTTGGGCTAAGTTATGTTGTGTTGGGCTTAACTATGTTATGTTGGGCTTACCTTGTGCATGTGTTGGAGAATGGGGAATGTGTTTGAGAATTGGTCTTGGATCAGGTTACCCAACATTAGTATCCATTTTGTGACCCATCAAGTTAGTTTATTCAACCATCATTATATACATATTATTTGTATATATTAAGCACATGAGAGGTTTAGACCTTTGTAACTCTCATCTTTTGATGATGGAGTTGATGGCCATATTAGTAGCTATAGGTTTTCAACCTTTGTAACTCTAACCCTAATGACTAGAGTTGATGGTCTTGGTTAATGGCATTTGATGGCCCTATTGATTTATAGCCTTCATAGCTAGGGATTCCCCTACTTGTATAAATAGAGGCATTTTCCCTCCAACTTGGAAGAAGAATATTAGAAAGATTTTTGATAGAAAATGGAGATGGTGCGTTGAGATAAAAAGTTGGAGATGTTTATTTTACATCAAAATTTTTTTTTCCTATCTTCTTTTACTAGTCCCTTCTTTGGTTCTTGTTAGAGAGAGTCTAGCCATTGTCAAGCTTGCTGAAACTATTCAAAAGGTGCTTCTGCATTAGCTAGTTTCGACCGTCGTATTTTGGAAGATAAACGCCAGCGTACCTCCAGCACCCACCAGGAGGCAGTGAATCTGTTTAAGGAACTGTGGTATCACACAGGCTTCGGTTTGCTTCCTTTATCTTTTTTTCTTCAAAGTTTTAAATTTAAATAATTTCTTGTATATTATTTTATATGTCCATTTGAATCCACCTTGCAATATGTTCCATGGTATAATCTAGTTCATTCTTGTGTTTTTTTTTAGTTCTATAGTTTATTGTATATTTCATTCTTTAATAAATAAAAATAATAATTATTATTTTGTCATTTCTACTTAATTTATTTCGTATATTTTCTTGTATTATTATGGAAAAATACCAACAAGGAGCCCATCAGGCCTAGCTATGGACAATGCCCCACTCGAAGTATTCCTTCCATGCTATATCGCCATCACCAACCTCAAGCAGATTTGTTCAACCAAAACCATTAGGTTGGTACTGGGTAAAAAAATAGACCAGACCCTAATTTGGTATAGTTTCTAGTTCATTCCACCTCATTCCCGAAACTAGGTAAAATAAAGAACAAAAAATTGATGGAATAGATATATCACAACCCTGAAGGCACAGATACATCGATGAACAAACCCCAAGACATCGAAATTGTTTCAAAAGAAATAGGGTGATTAATTATATTATTATAAATTTTGAGGCTATTATAAATATATCAGCATCTTGAAGAAAAAAATATATTGATGGGAATATCTCACATATCACTGATATTTAATCCATAAATTGAAACCTTATGAGAACTTAATCTAGCTTAAGAGGCCAAATTTCTACCAATGTTGAATTGATAAGATGTACTCCAATAGAAGCACAGATTACATAAATAAGTCATATTCAAACATGGCTAACTCTTAACCTAAAAGATGATTGGCATGTGTTATTTGCTCTTCGTATTGCAGCTTGAAATAAGATATGATTCAGCAATCAGAGGTATGATGCAGAGAAAAATGTACTCATGAAGTGAAAAAAGAACTAAGCATTTTCTTTCTCTCTTTCTTTGCTAGAAACAAGCACTAAGCAGATGAAAATCTCCACAACTAACGTCTTCTTCTCAAATTCAAGTTTAAAAGATTTTTGAAGAAAAAACCTCCTTTGCAAGCCTGTTTCTCCATACCATCTTTCAAACATCTTCCAAAGTAAGTATGTCAAACTTCCATTTGTCAGATGCTGGTGAAAGTTACCATCTACGTTCAAAAACTTTAGGATTTACCTTCTCTGACCCTCATCTGTAATTTCTTTGGTTTGGTAACATGACTCACATCACCTCATTGGTAGGAACATGATCTCGGAACAAAACAGTTCCAGTGTTTCCCTTCTTAAGTACTTTACTGTTTTCACTAGGCTTAAGGTTCTACTTGTATTATTACCTTCATTACTCAAGACTGATTACTAGGAAATCCTGCATTAAAAAAAAATTACTATAAAAATGCAGGAGGGTCTATACTGGGACTCTTTGAAAAGCAGTGCTTGTTATCTCTAATATACTAGAGACAAACCAACAATTGCCAAATCAGAAGATAGAGGATAACAATACAGATGAAAGGAAACAAGAATCAATCAGCCAGAGCTCATCACTAACCAACCAAAAAGGTAAGTAAAAAATTCTCTAGCCTAGAAGGAAAATAAAATACATGATAACCTCTAATCAGTTATTGTACTAACTCTTTTCAATTCATGAAAGTGCAATGAAATGTCTTCTAATTAGCATTTGAAAACCATTTGATTTAACCCTGGTCCAATGTTTTTATTATCTTTTGAAAAAAAGAAAAGGGAATGACATAAGTGGGTCAGTTATCCTTTTCCTATTTTCTTCCAATGCCCACAATTTATAGGTGCATTTGGCATTTAGGCCACATTGAAGAATTAAAGAAAATAGACAATTAGTAATCGTCACATCCTCTAGAGAGATGTCAACTTGAAATAGATGCAAATATCCAAGTTGTTGCAATTCTTTTATTGTTATAAATAGATGAGAGTTCCTCTATTTTGGTTCTTCTAAAAACTCTCCAGCCTTGAAGCATCGCTGGTTTCGAAAAGTGATCTTTATTGAAGAGATTGCCAACAGCCAACCTGTGATAATACATTCTCTCCTTCAACTTTTCTTTAAAATATATTATCATTTAAGGAACATTATAGTTTCATAGATTGACTAGCAACACATTTATTGTCTAGAACAAGCTCCAAGTCAAACCAATTTAAGAAACCTCGGTATCATAATTTAAGAAACATGTCTATCATAAATTAAAAGTTCAAATAAGTTCAGATCATACATTTATTTCATTTCCTGATAACCACAGAACAAATGCTGCGGAATCATGATAAGGAAGAGTGTAAACACACATCAAAAACTTAGCAGTACCACTCTCCCTACTTCTAGAAGTTCTAAATTACCAAAGATTATAGAATTTTGATAAGAAGCCATAAAAGAAGATGATAAGTTTTAATCAACTAGCTTCTATTACAGTTTGGAAAAAACAAAATTACTTTTTCCTGAATCCTATCTATTGGTGATATAGAAAGTAGGAAGCAATTAAGGGCATTTTAGGAAGTAAAAAAAGTATCGCACCGCCATTGTATGCCAGTTTTCTGTTGCAGTTCATGCATCAAGGAATTTTAAGTAATTAAAGCCATATTCAAACCTTAAAATGAACAGTTCAAGAGAGTTAACTTTGAAAAAGACAGACTAAGATTAAATAAACAAGAAGCACCAAGAATATTATGAGGAAAACTCACCAAAACTCTGCCATTTCACTTGAAGGTATTTGTTTCGACAATGACTCGTAAAATATCCTCAGGGGTTCTCTCTGTTAACAAGAAGCAGGAAAATAAGAAAATCAATGGGACTTGGTAGCCAAATGGAATTTCAAGCAAAGGAACACAACTGAAAGCATGTAATGGGTCCAGCACCTCTTCAGGAACATCATACTTCTGCCCTGGCAAGCTGTAAACTTTCTTCTCCCTCGTTTTAACCGTGGTTGTTTTCGTCGATGAACTCGATGTTGTTTTTGATGAACTTGAGGCTGTTTTCACTTTTACCTTCACTTGAACAATATGTAAATATTATAGTTATACATACATATCAAACCTATTATACAAAGCACACAACTCAGAAGCTTTGTCAAAAACAAAAAATAATATTTTTCCAAAATACCTATAAAATCGGTAACAGCTACAACTCCACATCATGTAACTGCTAAACAATTTTCAAATTCAATCCCCATTCGATAAACAACCCAAAAGTTCAGATGTACAATTGCTAGTGTATATATTTCTAGATGGATGTAGAGAAATAGAGGATTTTCAGATGCCTATTTTCAGATTCCATCAAATAACACAAAAGGGTACCGCCAAGACCTCTTAATTCGCTAAGATTGTATAAAATACAACACCTAAATTAACCAATTCTCAAAGACCCAAATCTGCTAGTTCATTGGAAAGAATGAAATCAATTCAGAAACCCACAAATTGCCCAAATGAGCTGATCAAGAAAAACATATAATTTGATGCTCAAACATTACAATCTACCCAAAAAAAAATTTAACAAATCTGAATCATGAAAAGCAATAATGAATTTTTAGCAGATGGGTACCTCAGTTTTTGAGACAGTGGTGGTAGATTTAGACTTTGAATCAACAGGGCGTTTGATTGAGCTCTCAGAAATCTTCTTTTTGGTGAGAGATGAATCAAACTTGGGCTTTGAAGAACCATCTTGACTGCTGGGCTTGACCTTCACAACAGTAGCTTTGGTCTCAGCAGCCATGCCTTCTTCTTCTTCTTCTTCTTCTTCTTCCAAATTCAAATCCAAATCCAAATCCAAATCCAACCACCACCTCTGTTGATATCAATCTTTCTTGTAGATACTCTCTCATCGATGAAGGGTATACATATTAGCTCTGTTTCTATATTCTCTTTTTGGTTTCGGGTCTGTCAAATTAAAAAATTCGATAAAATCACAAAATCCGATCAAAAGTATAAATCAAATCATGAAAATGAACATTAAAAAAAGGAAAGCTTGAGATGCTGTTAATGCCGTTTAACTGCCTCTTTCAGGTAGAGTTTCTTTTCCTGTCCCTTTAATTTTAGGTTACCATTGGCTAGTTCTGGTGAGATTTTTTTTTTTTTTAGTTATAATTTTTAACTTTGTACTTTCATTTTTTTGTTTTAAAAAAGAAATAATGATTTAGACTACTAATTTTGGTGTTCTAATAGAACACTAATGACATAATAATGAACAAAAAAAAAATAAAATAAGAACAAATCAAAATCAAAACATCACATCACTGTGGATAGAGCCCACTGTCAACTGCTACTTTTAAAACTCAAAAATTAAAGCTTCAAAACATTTTTCTTAAAAAAAAGTCATCCCTTATGATTTACGGAGGAGGCGTTACTTATAAGGATTGGTTTGAGAATTTGTTTTTTTAATTTTTTTATATAAAGACGTGTAAAAAAATGAAAGAAATAAATTTTTTTATAGTTATTTTTTATTATTTTTTCATTTTTCAAACAATTTCTAATGTGTAAAATTTATATTAAAATATTATATAATACGTGTTAGAATTTTAACTTTTTATATTATTTAAAATTTAACCAATTTTAATTGAGACTCGTGTCGTGTCTGAAATTGATTTTTTTGTGAATTTTTTTTCATAGTTAGTTTTGTGTTTAGTGTAATTTGTTTAATTAAAAAAAATAATTTGCATATCCTTTTACAAGACAGATTTGAAAAGTTTTATAAAAAAAAAATTATAAAAAGTTCAAAAAACAATCACTAAAAATCTCTTAGCTCTCCCCCAAACCTGGCCTCTTCAAACTCAATACCGATGGTGCCTCAAAAAACAACCATGGGCTTGCCGCTGCTGGTGGTATCATTAGGGACTAGACGGGTAAATGGATATCTGGTTTTTGTTGCAACATTGGCCACTCGTCCAGTATCGAAGCTGAACTTTGGACCATGCGAGATGGTCTAATACTTGCTCTTGATCTTAATCTCACAAGAATAGAAGTGGAAACAGATGCAACCATCATGCAAAACCTCATTCTTGGTAACTCCAACCATTGTCATCAACTTGGTAATCTCATTCATGACTGCAGGTATCTCCTAGACTAGCTCGGCACACCGACTATTAGCCATACCTACCGCGAAGGAAACAAATGTGCAAACTTGCTTGCCAACGAAGGATTCAATCACGAGGGTCTACTTGTTTTTTCTACTATTCCTAATTGTATCTCCCTTCAAGTTTTTGAAGACGCTAGGAGTACTTTTTACCCTAGAAATGTAACTGCTTGGCTATTATCAATCTAATTTCCATCTTTATTACCAAAAAATAAAAAATAAAAAAACAAAAATAAAAATAAAAAGATTGATTTTTTATATAATGATGCGAACCTCATTCTCAATAGCTATTAATATTTTAGATTTCCCTTTTTTAAGGTAAAATTATATTTTCACATAACTCACTCCCACCTAAAAATTAAGTTTTTCAATGGTTAGTTACATCTAAAACCCATTCTTGACTTTTCGTTAACAAGAAATGAGTTTGTCAATTAAATTTGATTTTTTCCAGCTAAATATATATTTTTAGACAATGAAATTAATTTTTTAGGGTTGATTGATATCTGTTGTGGGCTGAAAACTTTGAAAAATAAGAGTAGTTTTGTTCTTGTTTTATTCAAAAATTAAATTATATAGACAAAAATATTATTAATTAATATAATCAAAATGGAGGCAAGGACAAGATAAATCTTGTTCCCATCGGTATTTTCTAATTTTAAAAATGAAAATATTCAATATTCAATGTGACATTAATTACATAATATTCAATTAAAATATGAAAATATTAAATATTCAATATTCAATGTGACATTATTATATGCCTATTAATTATTTAACAAATTTGAATTAACATGTTTCACTATAAAAAAAATTTCATTACATAATTGATTTGAAATATTAATATAAAAACAGTATGATCTTATATTCGAAAATTACTAAATAATTGTCATTGGTGATTTACTAATAATAGCTCATTCCTAACAATCAGCTGAACATGAATAATTTATTATCTTATTGTCTTTAAAAAAATTTTATATTTCATTACGTAATTGATTTGAAATATTAATATAAAAACAATATGATATGACATTTTAAAATCATATATATATTATTAAAAATAGTATTTTTTTTTCAATATACAAGTGATACATTATAAGGATTTACTTTTTTCTAAAATATTAGCATGTATTTTTTTAATTACATATAGAGCTCTACACAAACCTAAATCTAATTTAAATTATACTAACTTTACTTATTTTATATGGACTCAATTTGACATATATTTCTTTTCTATATACTTTTCATGGTAAATTGAGATAATTTACAAATTCAATACGAATTTTGTGTTTCACGTTTTTCTTCTTAATTCTTTTAAGAGTATTAGAATTTTTTTTAATGCTAAATTGCCTTTTTTTTTCTTTTTTTTTTCCTGTGCATTATTCTATACTCAATACCAATTCTATATCATTCCATATTATGGATTTGGTTTAAATTTTATAGTGATCCTATATATGAAATTATATTTCATTTTCTACATTATTTTATATAATCACAACTTACAAGAGAAAAAACATATATAATAATGATACTCTCGAGGAACATCTAAAGTTTAAATTTACAATTTGAGTTACTTTTTCAGTTATTGAACATTAAGTTCTTTTATGTTTTGACATCACATTACAGATGATTAATTACTTCACATATTGAGATGCATTTATCGTTTGGATATTTTCATTATTTTTTCTTTTTGGGTTTACATGTTGTTATGTAATTCTTTTTTATTTAGTCGTTATTGAATTTCTTTTATATAGTTAATATTTTAATTTAATTAAGAGTGTTAATTGTACAATCTTATAATTTAATAGATATATCATATAAAATCATTATATGTCCAACAACAACATATTTATATTTAATTTTTTTAATAAATTTTATACAATTTCTATATATATATATATATTATATAATTTCTATATGACATATTTTTATTTTCTAAATGAATATAAAAGAAAATTAAATAGTTAGAATTACTTTTAATTTTATGTTATTAATTTTTCTTCTAATTCAACTATTATTTTTAATATCAAAATGAGTATTTATTTTATTATTTTATAATTTAATATATAGCATACAAAATTATTATATAATAATTATATTTTTATAATATGATAGAACTAAAATTATCAAAATACAAAAATAATTTAACTAAAATTAATATATATAAGTATTCAAGAAACAATTTTTATAGAACGATAGCGTTAATATTATCAAAATAAATAATTAAAACCATACTTTGATTTAAATTTTAATTAAATCAAAATCAAAATTATTCTTGTATAATCCACATTATACTATCAATTTTTTTTCTTAAAAAAAATAATATGAATATTACACAAGTCAATTGCTAGTTACTAAATAATTATCGTTGGTGATTTATTAATAATAGCTCATTTCTAGCAATCAGTTAAACATTAATAATTTATTATCTTCTTGTCTTTAAAAATTTTTTATATTCAATTTAAATGATTTATTTTATGAAATTATTAATTGTTCAACCCTTTTTTAAACAATCAACGTGAGACAGAAATTAACGATGCTAAGACTCACGTGATTCCCTCGTTAATTGTGTATGAATATAATGGAGATTGGTTGAAACAATAACTCATAATAAATAAAATAAACAAAAATGCTTTAGAGCTTTAATATAGGAGCTCTAATAGTTCTAATGGGAAGGTGAGTCTCACCTGATGTGATGTTTGTATCTTGTTTTATTTTATTTTTATTTTTTTACTTTGATACATGATTAGAGCTCTATATTTAGAGCTCTCTATCATTTCTTTAAAATAAAAAATGAAGGGCAGATGATTGGGTCCTTCCGCACACTGAACAGTTCTGAGAACCGGACGATCGTCCTTTTCCCTTCAGATTTACACGTCAAATCTGATCGGACGGTCAAAACGGAGAGCTTTAAGTTTTTTTAACATGAGGACGCCCGCTTCGTAGTTTCTCATATTCAGAGCCCATGCATGACACCTTCACGCGTAAAGCAATGACACACGTCGACTGATTAGCTTATTCTTTTTGAGAAATTATTCATTGTCCAGTTAGGGTTGTTTTGGAAGTTAAAAGTTAGGTTTTTTTTTTTTGAAAAAATATATAAAAAATGTGAGATATGATATGATTTTAAATGAATTAAAAATAAAAAAAATTAACTTTTAATTGAGTTATGCTAGAGACTCCATCTAATAAATTTTTCACTAAACCTCTCACAAAACTCACACGCTGCGAATTTATATGAATCTTACACTTATATAAGAAATTTAATAAATTATTTAAGATTTATAACATTTTCCCTTTTAACCATTCTCCTAATTGTTTAAAATAATAAGTTTTACTATTTATTTATTTCTTTTGAAAAGATAATTAAACACTTAGAGCATCTCTAACGATGAACTTTTTTTTTCCTCAAATCTGAGGAAAAAAAGAACGATTTTCTCAATTTGAAACCACTGACTCCAACGGTGAACTTTCATCAAATCTATGCTGGGACAATTGGTTGGTCGATCGGTAAGGGCAAAAAAAATTTTTTTGAATTGTTTGAACCTTTTTTTGAACTGTTTGAACCCTTTAGTGGTCGACCAAGGCAAAATTTTTTATTTTTTTTTTGAATTGTTTGAACCGGGCAACCGGCTGGTCGACCGGTTCCTCTCCCCCAACAGTAACGAACAGTAATTTGCTGAAATCTGGACGTGTTCTCACTTTGATGAAATGTTTAGTGAATTCTCAATTTAATATCGATTTGATAAAATCGTTAGAGCTCCAAACAATAACTTTTTTATCACTTTTCAAATTTAATGTCAAATTTAGGCCAAGTTTGGCGTGTCTTGAAAAAGATAAAAAGTCAAAAAGTCACTATCTTATTTAAGTCACTATCTTATTTAAGTCACATCACCTGTCGTACACATCACTTCAAACCCAACCCATATTTCATAAAAAGTCAAAAAATACACTTATTTAAATCATCC